ATGAGAAAACATCCAATGGACTGGCCGGAATAGATTCGAGGAGGACCAATGAGGGCTCGTCTTAGTGAGCCAGCGGTGGCGCCAGCGGTGAACAGAAGCTATTGCTAACGCTAACCACAACAGCACTCTCGTTAGCTTGTTAAGTGTCCATCGGTGTCCACGGCTGCAAGAAAAAGAAGAGATAATGTATGGGTCCTTTTTAGGATTGACAAAGAAGAAAACAAGATTGAATGTAAAACCTGCGGCTTTTTGTGGGAGACTCTAACTGAAATTAATTTGAGACTAAAAATGAACATTGGGTTTAATTAGAGTATGTTTCTCAGTCTCAGTCCGACTCTCAGTCAGAGGAAAAGGACTGGAGGCAGAGACTGTGCTCTTCTATCACCCCACGGCCAGACAGTACCCCCGCCCCGCCCGCCTCCTCGTGCAGACTGACACTACAGTGGCTGTCTCTGCCCTGGGGGAACAGACACAAGAGTGCAGGGCCATCTTTCTTTTCTGTGGAAACATAAAGAATTCACCACAAACTCTAAGATTCTGCTTTATTTTGATCTCTGCAACGTTGAAAGAGTTTGTTCTGTGACTGTGTGGTTCGGCAACAAGCAGAGAGAGACCAGAGAGAGACCAGAGAGAGACCAGAGAGGGACCAGAGAGAGACCAGAGAGAGAGACCAGAGAGAGAGACCAGAGAGGGACTGGAGAGAGACTGGAGAGAGACCAGAGAGAAAGACCAGAGAGAGACCAGAGAGGGACCAGAGAGAGACCAGAGAGAGAGACCAGAGAGAGAGACCAGAGAGGGACCAGAGAGGGACTGGAGAGAGACTGGAGAGAGACCAGAGAGAAAGACCAGAGAGAGACCAGAGGAGAGAACAGAGAGGGACCAGAGAGAGACCAGAGAGGGACCAGAGGAAAGACCAGAGAGAGACCAGAGAGAGACCAGAGGAGACCGGAGAGAGAGACCAGAGAGAGACCAGAGGAGAGAACAGAGAGGGACCAGAGAGAGACCATGAGGGACCAGAGGAGACCAGAGAGGGACCAGAGGAAAGACCAGAGAGAGACCAGAGAGAGACCAGAGGAGACCGGAGAGAGAGACCATGAGGGACCAGAGGAGACCAGAGAGAGAGACCAGAAAGAAAGACCAGAGAGAGAGAGACCAGAGAGCGACCAGAGAGGGACCACAGAGAGAGACCAGAGAGGGACTAGAGAGAGACAGAGAGAGACCAGAGAGCAAGACCAGAGAGAGACCAGAAAGAGACCAGAGAGAGAGACCATAGAAGGACCAGAGAGAGAGACCAGAGAGCAAGACCAGAGAGAGACCAGAAAGAGACCAGAGAGAGACCAGAAAGAGACCAGAGGAGACCAGAGAGAGAAACCAGAGATTGAGGCCAGAGAGAGAGACTAGAGAGAGACCAGAGAGAGACCAGAGGAGACCAGAGAGAGGCCAGAGAGAGAAACCAGAGATTGAGGCCAGAGAGAGAGAGACCAGAAAGAGACCAGAGAGAGACCAGAAAGAGACCAGAGAGAGACCAGAGAGCAAGACCAGAGAGAGACCAGAGATTGAGCCCAGAGAGAGAGACCAGAGAGAAACCAGAGAGCGAGACCAAAGATCAAAACCAGAGAGACCAGAGATCAAGACCAGAGAGAGGTGCTCCACTTTGAAAGAGCACTGTAAGCTGTGAGCTGCCTGTTCTGGAGGTTCTTTATGAATCCGGACTCATCTTGTCCCATGTTCCAGCTTCTTCCCTCTGGCAGAAGCTATCGATGGTTGTTATCAGTCTAAACAAAGCACTTTCATGATCTTCCATTAGTTACTTAAGAATCACAGTGATGATTGTTTCTTGTATTTTTCTGTAGCTGTACTTTTAAATATTTGTCTGGGGGCACACTGGGGACATTTGCACATCTATTCCAATGTGGTTTTGCTGCAAATGGCAAATAAACTGAATGTGAATCGTCTACATTGTGATCTATTCAAGGGCGTAGGTTTGCGTGGGGACCATGGGGACATGTCCCCACCAATATTTGGTGAGGACTAAAAAGTCCCCACCAAAATGACATGATGTCCCGTGACCCGGACGGTCCGGGACACATGTCTTCCGTTTGTGCATACGTCGCGCCTCCTCCTCGCCTCCAGAGCAACAGCAGCAGCAGCACGTGACCCGTTCCGTTCTCTGCAGTGATTGGCTGTCTTCTTCAGCGCCAAACTGAAGCACTGTTTAAAACTGAAGCGACTGTTTAATTTTTAAAAGTTAGCCAGCGTGAAGCAAGTGGTTTTTTTTCGTTCCCTGAGCGTTGTAGCACGTGAGTAATCAGAGGAAAGTACTGTAGATCTATTACCATTCAAAGTACTTACGTTATTTCTAATCTGTCAGCGCACTGTTTAATGTTCCGAGGAGCTCACACGGCACAGACACAGAACAGAACTGGCTCCAATAAAGAAACAGGTTGGTTGAAAGGCTGAAAAAATACTTATTGTGCTCTTACTATCCAAAATGTATAAGTGGGTGTGTTGCGTGAATCAGGATAAACTAGGGATGAAAATATTCCACGGATCCACGATTTACAACCTTTATCTGCTGATAATGTAATTTCTGTGAAATGTGTGACAGCGGGCACTTGCTGTTATTTGCTCTAAGCACATTCAAGAGATGCACTCGAATGTGCACGTCCTGGTGCAGCTGCTGCCGCTTTGTAATGACAGCCGCGGCGCTCAGTGAAAGCACAGCTCTAACATGGTACCGAGCTCGGACCATATGCAGACAGAACCATGTTGCAAGTGCGGGTCTCCCTCGTATCTCCCCCGTTTCTCCCCTGTGTCTCTGACATGTCTCTCCCCTGACTCTTCCCAAAGCGCAACCAGCGCTCCCGAAATTAAAGCTCGGATACCTACATTTTCCATTGCGTTAACGATGCATGCTGGTTGTGCGCAAAACACACCACAACAGGTCATTTAAGTTTTTATTTTGCATACTTGAGAGCCCTGTGAGTCATTACTTGCCTTTTTGGGTAGAGAGTGGAATAAAAAAAAGAAAATATAGAAAAATCGACACTGTTACTTATTGCCAAACTCTTGTTAACTCATTGTATTGAGAAATACTATGTAACTTTTGACATTGGCCAAGTTATATAAATGATTCTGCAGTTCATGTATATGAATGTCTGTTTTTGATTGTCTATACCTTCTTATATAATTTAGAAAAAATGCCACCTCCCAAAAAAAGATAAAAGATATCAGGAGCTTTTTTAACAGTTGGAAAGTAAGTAAGAGAAAGCACAAGTAATAGCAAATTATGAATTGTGATGATTAATCTTCTGTTAACATACATAGGAAACTCAACCAACAAGAGAGAACAATATAGGGAATGTTGAGGTAGAAGCAACAGGCCCTTCAGTGCATCAGGTGAGGTTGGAATTTTGTAGGTATGCATGGGACTATGAATTGTTTTTAGAGATTGATCGTATATGTCAAACAATGTAGTGAGCTACTCACTGTAGATTCTAATTCAATATTTTCTCCTCTGTTTTTATTTATTATAGGAAATTGAAAGATCAGAGCATGATTTATTTCAAGTATCGAGAGCAGTTCCTGAACTGTTAGAGCCTCAGGTGAGGGCTATTATGTAGATTTGGATTAGGTTTAAGTCAGTATAGAATCATACTAAAGTTAAAGAACATCATTTGGTTGGAAATTACCTATGCCAATTACAACATATTTTACTACTATAATGATGCAAAAAGTGTTGTCTGAAATCTTTTACTAAATATAGGACACTCTGAGAGATATAATGGAAATTCAAGAAGGAGATAAAGACAAGGACAAGACAGGACTCCAGGTGAGGTTAGGATTAAGCAGTTATAATCTTAGACCTCCTGTGGACTCACCACCTGCAGAGGGTCAGTGAGGGGCTGGTGCTATGAGACTTGGGTGGCATCTCTGACTGTCACCCCCCTGACCCAGAAATGGATTAAAAGGTAGAAAATGGATGAATGGAATCTTAGACCCATCAACCAATTCTAGTTTCATGAGATATTTAGCGACTGGTGTACCATGCCTAGGTTTCATTTTATTCAATGTAGAATGTGTGTTTTTATTAATACCATAAAGGAAAGTCAGACAAACAGGGAATGTGCAGTGCTGGTAGAGGATGAGGAAGTGGCTGGACCTTCAGGGCTTCAGGTGAGGTTGAAAGTATTTATTTGGTTTTGTTGGTGGTTTTATTTTGTATATGATTAGATCTGATTTGTTTAATGTACTACATGTGTTTTATTTATTATAGGGAACTCAGGTATTCAGGGAAGATGTAGTGCAGGCAGATATCGAAGCTGGGCTTCAGGTGAGGCTGGAATTATGAAGATAAAATATGGGATTTTTTAAAGTTTCATAACAGTGTATTTGCTATTTAGGAGGCAGCCAATGAGAGTCACTCTCAAGAAAGTGCCAGGGACAGCATATTTGAGATAGGTTGTAAACCATATCAGCCTGATCCTGAATACAGGATATATTTACTATCTTATTTACTATAAACATTTAAGCCCTCTTGTGGACAAAGTTAGAATGAACGCAACACAAAACTCAGAAGCTCTGATCCAATTGATTTTGTTTTAACTATTAGAAAAAATCCTTAACTGCTTCTCATTCAGTCTACAGCTGAGTTTAGTATAGAAGGCAACACACTATTGCAAATATAGTGTGTGATTACACAACAAATTCTGGGGGAGAAACTCTGGACCCCGTGTCAATGGGTGTAGACTCAGGTCGTAGTGAATGTCCCCACCAAGATTGGAACCAAACCTACACCATTGGCTGTGTTTCTACAGTACGTCAATACAAACTGGTGTAACGATGTGACAGTGATCTCCAAGCACTGTTCTCCTGCTCTGGAATATCTTTTCATTCATTGTAAACCGTTTTACTCCCCTCGCGAGTTCGTTTAATTCATTCTTGCCTCTGTTTACATACCGCCATGCGCGCGAGGCTCAGTGTGCACTCGCAGAGCAAGTACTGTGTATGGAGCGTTTATACCCGGACTCTCTGATTATTATCCTGGGGGATTTTAATAAGGGAAACTTGAGCCAGGAATTACCCAAATACAGACAGTTTATCAAATGCCCGACCAGAGAGGAGAACACTCTGGATCACTGCTACACCACTGTGCGCGGAGCTTTTCGCGCTGTTCCCAAGCCAGCCCTTGGCTTCTCAGATCACTCCATGATACATCTGATCCCTGCTTACAGACAGAGACTAAAGCTCTCAAAACCTGTAGTGAGGAGCTCCAAAGTGTGGTCTGATGAAGCTGTGGAAGAGCTGCGCGCATGCATGGAATCTACAGACTGGGACCTTTTCAGAGCTGCCACAGATAGTTTGGATGAATACACGGACACTGTGACGTCATACATTCACTTCTGCGAGGATAGCATCATTCCAACAAGGACCAGGGTCATCTACAACAACGACAAACCCTGGTTCACTGCTAAACTCCGGCAGCTCAGGAAAGGAAAGGAGTCTGCTTTCA